GTCCTTCCAATACACCTGCACGTTTGGAGCCTGGCTGTAGCTCAGGAGGTGGAGCAGGTCATTTACTAATTGGAGGGTTTGTGGTTTGGTCCCTGGCTTATCCAGGCTGGATGCCACAGTATTCTTGGGCAACATACTAACCTTAGTGTGAACGTTACAAAAAAATCACTCAGGCAGACAAAGCTGAGGAAAAAGTGCTCGTATAATGTTCGAGTGCTCACTGGCCACTTTTAAAGTGGTCAGTGAGCTGTGGACGTCCACTCTGAGCACCTCTGAAGGACATGCTTCATCTAATTAGAGGTGTGGAAACAGACTGGGCTCATTGAACATGTACTCAGTTACATACATGCAAATCATGTCAGTAAATGCTCGGCTTCATTATATCCTGCCTCCTCACTTCAGCTTCCGTTCTGTGGCCCCGAACGACCTTAAAGTAGAAGGAACCAAGAACATGAACTCAATTTATTTTAATTAACCTGTTTCCATAGTTCAGATGTCATGTACAGTAGTAGAGACATCGATGTTTCCAGCACCATTTGAGGTTTTTAGAGATGAAGCCTATTAGAATGCACACCCAGTAAATCCTGCCAGCATCGAGTTTTTCCAGTAAAGTTTAGGCCTCAGAGGATGTTGCTGTGAAATAAGAAAGTAAGCATCAAGTCAAGTTTCTTAAAAAGGCGGGTGGGTTGCCGTCGACGATTACATCAGTCAGACTCAGTCTGCACATTGTGTTAAAATGAGACTGAGCGCATACGTCTGCTGCAACTCTGTCATTAACCTGTGCATGTATGAGCTGTAGGTGACGAGCACACCGCTGCGCCTCCCTGCCTCACGCTGCCTCTTCCCACGCATTTCCGATGACAATTTCTGCATCCTTTCAACACTAAACAATGCGGCAATCATTACCGCTTCCCTCAGCGGCTGACCATGTGAACAGGGTCACTGTGCAACAACTTCTGTCACTTTTGCATCTGCGAACCAGTGCTGAAACTCGAATGCTTTGAGAGTGAGCGATTGTAACAGAGTTTGCGTCATTGCCTGATCTAAACACAGCTACAGCTTTCAGTGAGTTGAATAAAATAGTAAACATGTGCCGTTCAGCTTTCAGCTACTAAATATCAGCTTTTCAGTTTAGTAATTTTTGTATTTTGACACCTAGTTTCCAACTGCTCTGAAGAATGTGTGAAGTAAGCTCTGAGAGTATATATTTTCATCTCTAACGACAGCTTTGTGTTAGGTGCCCAGGTTTTAGGATTCATCTGCAGTTACAAAAAATGGACTCTATATACTTTTATTCCCAGTTGTGGTTGTCTCCCTCCTGTTTTCTGCCTCCTGCTGCACTGAAATAAAATCATTGAATTTGTTGCAAAGCAGGACTGAGAATAAGTTTTTCATTCTTTCCTGTTTTCTTATTTTCTTTTATAGATTTATTACTGTCATTATGCTTGAGTATCTGCATGTAGCGCATTGGAACAGTGGACTTGCACACAAGTCTTTCAAAACATTTTTATGTATATGTGTTTGTGTATATAC